TGCGAACCACTGAGCAAATAGTTGCTATGAGTTCAGCGGTCGCCATCCTCTCGATCCTCCGTGATGTAATTGAGGACTCTGGGATGGGGGTGGGCGAACGGAAGATGCAAGACCCTATGATGGGGTTGCAACTTTTGAATGATGCAAAGATAGCATTTTTCACGATATGCTCAATTGAGAATATCCATGGTCTTGGAAAGTACCTTCTACAGCCCTAATAAAATGGCGACTGTAATGGCTGTAGAGGTGCTGAGAAACTGCATCGTGCGATTGATCCGTTGTCGGAGTCACTGCAGAATGAGGAGGGAGAGGGAATTGAGTACTTATCGAAGTATGGAGCAAATGCCATCCATTTGGAAGTAACGATATTGACGCTATGATATGTGTGTATGTCGCGTGCATTTATCTGCGACACGTGGGAAGTATTAAAATTTTTACCCCTTCGTTCCTTCTCTTTTCGAGGGAGACCGTGGAGGTACACCAGACGCTGCTCGAGGTGGAAGAGGGAGATAGGAAACTGCCGCATCTGGCAAAAGGCTGGATTGCAGGAATAGTTTTTAATACTGTTGTCTGAATGCTAATGAGGTTCGATGAACCTGAGGCATTCCTTTCTGTACCAATTTTGAGGAACAGTTTCTGCATTTGTTTAGAAGAGTCTTTGCCTCCTGACAAGGGCAGTGAGAATATCCATGGGCTTAAAGCTCTTGTTTGTTATGGCTTTGATCACCTCAGAAAAGTTCGGCACCGTGGCGTTTTTATGATGACATGAATCAACTTGCACTAGTCTATGAAGTGTTTCGAGTTCAGTTCTGAGAATACCATCTACAGTAACTTTTCGAGAAATATGTAAAGTGATGTCAGACTGAGAATTGTCGTAGGTCAGTCCTGTGGTGTTTGACCGATGTCCACAGCTAGTAACAACAATTTAGGACCAGGTCCTGGTCAGTCTGTCTGACATGGGACCCTCTTTTCACTGCTTCCTCTGTTTTTGTTGAGTGCAGGGTTTGGGCACTTATCTGACTGGCCGACGTTCATCATCTGCACTGCACTCAAGACGGCCGCAACTTTCGAATGGCACAGCGAAAGAAGCGGAGAAGCTACGAACTTGAGGAATACTGTAAGTGGTGATATTGAATTCCAAGCTGCGCAAGGCGCATGTGGGTACAAATCGTGGAAGAATGATTGATTGAACATTCTGGTGAAGTCGCACGTGATTGATAGAGACGAATGCAACAACCGTAGACATGATTGGAGTCTGCCGGACAGCGATGGTGCAATAAGAATGGACACTTAATTGAATGTCGAAGTGCGCAATTTCACTGAAGTTCTGTCATGTTGTTTGTGCCAGAAGAAATGCTTGAAGAGTCATAACGAAACAGCTCGAATATCAAACATAACATTTTGCACAAAATGTCAAAATTAGATACAGACAATTTAGTGAGCATTTCAAAGATAGAAATATGTACATAACAACAAGGCCAGCCCTTGATGTAACGTGAGTACCGAAACAATCGTCAGTCGAACATCACAGAAAATGACTTTACATCACAACAGAATTTCGTTTGTAGACAGTCAGATATAAAATCTCGAACAGCAACAAAAGTAGAAAACAATGGAACCAAAACAAAGACGAACAAAACTGACACTGAACATCTGACGGACCAAAAACCCACCCACCCGTGTGAACCGTCGCCAAACAATTTTAAAGTATTAACAGCAGAAACCGACGTGTCCAGCGAATACCTCCTCACTGCAGAGAGAGTCACGTTGAGGATCGAACTGGGTAGTGAGGGAAGGCGGAAGTCCTGCGTCGGGAGGAAGAATGGAATATGTCCTCAACGAATCAAAACACTGTGTTGTGGTCCTCAATGAGCTGGAAGTCTTCCAACGAGTCGGCTGGAACGTCTGAGCCGCACTGCACCAGCGTTTGAAACAGCTTCCTCTTCACTTCTAGACTAGGAGCCGAGGAACCGCAGCAGCTGAGCCGTTTCAGCAGCATCAGCGGGGTGTCGCCGTTGAACATCGCCAAATTGACGAGCTGGTACAAAATTTCTGCGGGCAAACAGGACGCAATTATCTGTACCACATGTTAATTAATTTTTAATAATAAAGATCAGACATGAAAAGCAACTTTCGAGTAAATTAATATCACGGAAAAATAAATGTTATTTTAAATTACAACGAACGTCATGAAACTAGTGACGCTTAAGGACACTATCCTTA